AATATAACAAAAATTCAGGTTTTCCTATGAAAATAGAGAAAATTGAGGGTTTTCTTTTGAAAATATAGAGAAAAATCAGGTTTTGCTATTCAAATATAGAGAAAATTCAAGTTTTTTATGAATATAGAGAAAATTGAGGTTTTCCTCTCAAAATATAAAGAAAATTGAGAATTTCTTATGAACCAAACCCAAAAAAATCCAAAAACAAGAAAATATAAATTCCCAAATTAATTCCAGACCCATTTTCGCTGCCATTGCTCAGAACGTCGCTGAGGCGGATTTCCTCGAGCGGGAGGAGGAAAAGGAGAAGCTTGAGGAGGCCTCGAGGGCCGGGAGTTGGGGCTCAGTTCTAACGCGCCCTCCGACACTGCAAGCCTAAACCCGAAACCCAAATCCAGGCTCAGCAGATCGCGGGACACATGGGCGAGCGGCTGAAGCTCGAGTCCACCCCGAACCACATCCTTCTGCTCGGCATGCAGCACTTGAATAACCTGCCATAGCAGGTTGGGGGGTTAGGTTCAGGGCGTTTAGGGCTCAGGGGTTACAGGTTAAGGTGTATAGGTTTCAAAGGTCTGGAATTCAGGTTTAGGGGGTTTATAGTTCTTTGTGGCTCCCTTCCAAGACGTTGTGGTCACCACCCCACCCCCGTGCCCCCCCCTTTGGACTGACCCCAGGACCTGCGAAAGGCCTTCCGCGAATCCGAGTCCATGCTGGCAAAGAAGCGACGTGTGGAGGAGCAGGTGCCGGGCGGATGTGTTTTTTCATGAAGTCCTATCCTACCCCTAAACCCTAAACCCTTCAGCTAAGCACGCATGTTGCGGTTCCTGGTTCCGCCGGATGCCAAGAGTTGTGTTGCACACGCGTGGGATGATCGAAGGAAGTGAGCTCGAGGGCTTGAGGCAGAGGATGGGTGCCCATTGAAACCTCTTGAAATACCTCGAAACATCTCTAAACCCATCAGCTTTCCCCGAGTTTGCACCCAGCTAAAAGAGCTCGAAGTGCATTCTGATGGCACATCATGGAACCATCATGGAACGATCGTGCAACGCCCAGGAGCTCCTGGACAACGCCGCTGTGGAGAAGTTTGGGGGCGAGGCTACCGTCAGGCAGGTCTTGGGCATGGACTTCGGGAACATGTAGGGCAGCACGGGCTGTGAGAATCCCCAATGAAGATAGTCTCCTTGCTCGGTCTGAGGGCAATGTGCTATAAGTTCGTTTGTCAGCGCCTAAGTGCTGAGAAGTTGAACTGCGAGTTGTTTCGCCTCGCTCTCCCTTGTCAGGCCAGATGCCTCCTCTGGAATCGACTCGCTCGCGTCCTCCTGGGACGGTGGGAAGATCATCGAGGCACTGGGTCTATCTCGGTCTGTGCTTTTGGGTCTCAATCTCACACCACGCCACTAATTTGTACCCTTTGAATTGATCCACATGGTCTTCTTAGACATGCAGCACGGCTTCTGCAGTGCTGTACTTTGCACGGAAGCCCTGAAGTGATCTCACGCGCTCCACCTTGGCTCTGATATGAACGCCGCCAAGCCAAAAACTGCCGACCCGAAACGTGCGAACTCTTTTACTTCACCGTCGGCTAAGGACGAAAGCACCGGTGAGGGGAAGTCCCTTAAGGCAACGGACTGCTGTTGGGATGTGTATGGCTTTGGTGGTTTTTAGCATGTCTGTGCAACACCAGTATGTGTAGCGGCCGCAATTGACCTTTGGCGAGGATCGCGGATGAGAGCGGAGAGTCTTGGAAGCCTGGCTCCTTTGCAGCAAGATGTGCCGGTATAGGGTTTAGGGTTTAGGGTTTAGGGTTTAGGGGTTGGGAATACGGAGCGGAGATCTTCGCTGGCCGGATCCTGCAAGCAAGCAGGGAGTGCAGGGCGGAGGGCTTCTCTGCATACAGGGAATACGGAGTGGAGATCTTCGCTGGCCGGATCCTGCAAGCACGCAGGGAGTGCAGGGTGGAGGGCTTCTCTGTCTGCAGGGAATACGAACTGGAGATATTTGCTGCCCGGATCCTTCAAGCAGGAACTGCAGAGTGGAGGGCTTGTGATACCTGCAGGGAATACAGAGTGGAGATCTTTGCTACTCAAACCTTCCCGAAGGGATAGAACAACCTGCGCTTCACGTCCCTTACTTCACTGTTTTGGCCCAGAGGGATAGAAGTATCAGAGCTTCACGTCCCTTACTTCACTGTTTTGGCCCAGAGGGATAGAAGTATCAGAGCTTCACGTCCCTTACTTCACTGTTTTGGCCCAGAGGGATAGAAGTATCAGAGCTTCACATCCCTTACTTCAATGTTTTGGCCCAGAGGGATAGAAGTATCAGAGCTTCACGTCCCTTACTTCACTGTCTTGGTCCCGAGGGATAGAAGTACCAGAGCCTCACGTCCCGTACTTCACTGTTCTGGCCCCGCAGGGATACAGGTACCAGTGCTTCGCTCCCTACGAGCCGGGGGGAAGGCGTTGCTGTGTCCATGTATATGTCAATGTGAGCCCTACGAGCCGGGGGGAGCTTTCCATGATTTTGAGTTCGTCAACGCATAGGTCTCTCGTATAGTGAAGGGGATAGTTACGATATATAGGACGGTGTGCGTGTCAACGCGAAGACCACCAGCCGAGGGGGAAAGGACAACTATGACATTGTCTATGTCACCACGGTATCTGCGAGCCGGGGGGAGTGGATAGAAATGCGTTGTACTACATATAGAGATTACGAGTGAAGGGATTACACGTCGAGGCTGAGTACGGTGCGCGGGGGGGAGTACATGTTACTATGCGTGTGAACCGGAAGCTGGCAAGGGAATATGCTGACGAACGTCTACGTGACGACCAGTGGCCGGAGGGATAGAGGGAAGAGGATTAGCCGTGAGCATGCCTGCCAATGCATGGAAAACAATGTTCCAGAGAGGAGGCTGTTCGAGGTCTACGAGTACAACGATGCAGTGTTTGGCAAATCTGCAGAAGGCGGAGACAGTGTTGCTGCAAGACGGGGCGTGCAAGGCAGCAGAGGCATGGCTGATCACCATTAAGTCCTCGCGGCCAGAGTGGCGACTGTCAGTGGAAGAAGGTGTTCACCGTCGCGACACATCTAGGCGAGGGAAACCATGACGAGAAGAGGGGAGACGCATATCACCGTCAACGGCATCACGTCTGCTGGTGAGCGTGGGACGGCTCCTCACGTCGTTGGACGAGGTGGTGTGGCAAGGGATAGATCTGCAGGGTGCATGCAAAGTCGTGCCCCTAGCGCATGGAGCGATGCAGCGGTTAGGAATGCCATGGCCCGCTGTCCTCCTCGGCTCTACGTTGTCACGTGAGCCAAGCATGGGATAGGGATGCTGGAGCGGGGATACATTCGTCGAGGGCATGTACGTAAAGAAGGCGATGGGTGAGACGAGTGGGAGTGAGACAGATGCTGCTTCAACTGCAAGCAGCGGTGCCGAGTGGCAATGTGGGCATTCCATGACGAGCGCAGACCGACTGATGACGAAACTTCCTGCTTGTGAGTGGAGGGGCGTGGCTGATCACCAGTAAGTCCTCTCGGCCTCGTCAAACAACATCTATGGGCATGGCTGGCCACCATTAAGTCCCATCTGCAAAAGAATGGGCTACATCGTCTAGGAGGGGTACTGAACCAAGTGAGAAGGCCGACGATGTGAGGGATAGAGCCTGAACGAGTTGAACTGAGTTTCGGCGTAAGGGGATTGAAGGTGATAGACCAATTTTCCAAATAATGTGGAATAGCAGACATATTGGATGCATGTATTGGGGCACCGTCAAAGACGTGTGTGCTCAGACGATGATTCCGAAGGTTTGTGGATGACGGTGTTGCTTCCGAGGGTCGCCGATGTGGTCTTCGTAATCGCGGGTGGTGGTGGGCGCCTCAAAGGGGCTGGAGACCATGCTGGCGATCCCTCCTGCGTTTGTGTTGATGGTCTGATGCAAACCTGACGAGGATTCGCGAATTCATCGTTTATGCTGGGAGACGTCGCTCTGCGTGCTGACGCCCCCATCACGGGGGGTGTTTCGCACCACGTCTTTCAGGTGTATTCGGGGGTGCAGATATTTTGATGTCAGTTGATTTCGGGTTTGCCTCGGGATAGATGTTATCTTCCTCGTGGACGAGCCGGAATAGTGCGCAGAACTGTGGGATAGACGAAGGGGCCTGGATGAAGTTTCGTGTGCTGTTGCTGTCTGGGCTTACAGGGCAACATGACAGCAACTCAAGCACACTGTATATTCGTTCACCTTTCTTTCTTTCTTCCTTTTGATAACGTTCACCGTGTAGCTGCGCCCCGCCTGTACAGTTTCATTTTGCCCCCCGTGGATAGTATTCCTGCACGTTGTGGATCTGGATAGCCAACTCGCAGCCGGACGGCTAGAGGAGCTAAAAGGATCGAGCGTGGCGAGGGATAGATCCGTTACCCTAACTTTGGGAGCGTTCACTTAGACCCTTTGCAACTCGCAGCCGGAGGCTAGAGGACACCGGGGATAGGCGAGCGTTCAGGTGAATACTGGGATAGGTGTACAACACGCAGCCGGACGGCTAGTGGATACATCTTGAGCGGTAGGTCATCACCCCCTGGAGATAGCAACTCTGGGGATCCTTCCGATAGTCGACGTCGGGAGCGGCTTAGGAACACTTGGCTAGCTACCTTGTGTTCCCCGTTGGCAGGGATACTGCTACTTCTGGAGCAACTTAACACCTCACAACTGTAAATAGCCAACTTACTTGTCTACTTGGGTCTGATCAACCGGAATAGTGGACACAGTTTTCCAGTTCTTCGACGCGCAAGTTTTCCTTGGTTTGGACACTTCGCACACCCCCAACCCTCCCTCTCCCCCCCCCCCCCCCCCCCAAAAGACGAGGAGCTTCAAACCTTAAACCCTAAACCTTAAACCTAAACCCTAAACCTAAACCCTAAACCTAAACCCTAAACCTAAACCCTAAACCCTAAACTTTGAGTAGCATGAAGCCACCAACCACTAGGACCTGCCTGCTCGCAGGTGCCATACCGCGCGTCTGGCGTGCTTTGTTGTGGACCCCTTAAACCCTAAAGCCTTCTGCTCGCTTAACTGACGCTTGCTGTGGTACCACAGTGCGACCGAAAGCCAAAAAACCCTAAACCCTAAACCATGGTCTGCTGTTGAGTGGGTAGAAACCCGATACTTTCCCTCGACTCCAGCCGTGCCCAGAGAGCCCAATGCCCCTTAGTTCAGGAATATACCTTACATGATACAAGGATCCCTATAATTCCTGAATTACTTCTATTTACTTAAGAACCCCAACAAAATAAAACATAATAAGCCCTGTACTACCCTTAATAAGGAAGAATATGTTTATTTTCTCGGGGTTCTTAAGCAAGTAGTAGATCAAGGAGGCTGTTTGGGTAAGTGGACAAGCCGCGAGCCCTAAATCTCTCCCTCCAAGAGGGCTCTAGAGGCAGAGGCCCCTGTCCAAGGGCTTTTCGGCGCTGGGAACTATTGCCTGAAGAACCCTTGGGTTTAGGGTGTAGGGTTTAGGGTTTTAGGTTTTTGGCTGAAGAACCTGATAAGAAAGATTTTAAACCCTAAACCCTAAAACCTAAAACCCTAAACCCTAAACCCTAAACCCTAAACCCTCAACCCTCAACCCTCAACCCTACCTAACCCTTAAACCCTAAGCCTTTTTTTGGGGTGGGGTTCTTAAGCAATCAGTGGTATGTGAGCCTCGCATGCCCAGTGGTGCCCTTATTCCCTTTTTTGCGTTTTCCTCTTCCTCCAAAAACTCCCTTTAGACACAGAAAGGGTGCCCTTTGATTGCTTGGTCTGTGGGCAAGCGACTATTTTAACTTGTAGATCTATCTGCTTTGCAACTTTGCGGCACCTCCCTGTCAAGTCTTCAGCTGACGTGTCTGGCAGCACTCTCAAGTCAGTAAGCCTGGATATCCTTTAGATTGGAGCCCTTGCACGAAAGCACTTAGGGCTCTAGTAAACCCCCTCTCTAACACTTACTCAGAAAAAGACAAGACCCTGAAGCACTAAAGCCCCCGAAGCTCACAAATTCTTCAAACTTTGAACCCTAAAATCCTCAAGCATGTATAGGCCCTGCTTAAACCTAGACCTTCGCAAAGTAATAAGGGGTTTGCCAAAATCTGCCGTAAAAAAAGACCCCCAAATAGTAGGATTCCCTCCCCAGTAAGGCACCCCCAATTTCGGAAACGCCCCTAAACCCTAAACCCTAAACCCTAAACCCTAAACCCTAAACCCTAAACCCTAAACCCTAGGGTTTAAACCCTAAACCCTATGGCCAGGCCCGGCCAGGCCGTCCTCGCTGCCCTCGGGGTCTACTTTGCCTTCTCGGTGCAGGCCCTTCCGGGACTGGCGTCTGCAGGAAGTCTTGGTCTAGGGTTTAGGGTTTAGGGTTTAGGGTTTAGGGTTTAGGGTTTAGGGTTTAGGGTTTAGGGTTTAGGGTTTAGGGTTTAGGGTTTATTTAGGGTCAAAAGGGAACCCTCAACCAAGACATAAAGGGTAAAAGGGTACCACTGGGCTAGCATTTGTGGCCCAGTGGTGCCTTTTACCCATTTCTTTTTTGGTTGTGGGTGCCCTTTATAAAGTAACCAACCCAAAGTAGGGTGCCCGGATTATAGCATGGTTACTTGGCTACCAAGCTATCCGGCTGACAGAGGTTTGTTTGGGCTATCAGTTCAAAAAAAGTGAGGCCGAACAGCACAAAGAACACACAAACGGATTCTCGTGTAGAGAACTGACCATCGCCCTCTGCTTTTCTCTTCAGGAGGGGGGACTGGAAAAAGGAAGCTTGCCCGACCACACAGCATCCTAGAACATTTTGCCTCTAAACTGTAACTTAGTATGGCCCCTTACCCTTGTTTAAAGGGATCCGGAGTCTGGGCCCTTATTGTGTGCAGTGTATATAGGCTAGGATGCCCAGTAGTATCCTTATTCCCTTTTGGGGGGGGTTAGGTTCCCTTATAAACCCCTTCAAGCAAAAAAGGGCACCCTTTTAAATCCTAGGCTACTGGGCAACCTAGTAGGGGTCATGTAACAAGAGACCCTAACTAAGGGCCCATAGTTGGAGAACCCTAGCGCAACGGAAAGTCCTAAGCCTCAGCTATCCCTAAACCCTAAACCCTAAAGCCTAAACCCTAAAGTCCTAAGCCTCAGCTGTCGGGCCCAAAAGCCCCCCTAAGACTCCCAGACGGGTTGGGGAGACGAAAGCCGGGTGCGGGCCCTGGAGGTTCGGGGGGTTTGGGGTTTCGGGTTTACGGTTTAGGGGTTGGGGTTTAGGGTTTAGGGTTTGGGGTTTAGGGTTTGGGGTTTAGGGTTTGGGGTTTAGGGTTTAGGGTTTAGGGTTTGGGGTTTAGGGGCATGCACTTCCCTGCACCCTTGCTCGGATTGAGGGGCAGAGGGAGCGTTGAACTCTGTGCCGGAGTTTCAGGGATCCCATGCGGAGGGGCAGAGGAGGCCCTGGAGACTCCAATAACCCTAAACCCTAAACCCTAAACCCTAAACCCTAAACCCTAAACCCTAAACCCTAAACCCTAAACCCTAAACCGTATAAATTTCTCCTTAAATCCTCCAAGGAACCCTCTTGTATTGAAAGGAATATTAAGGGGCATCGGAGTTTTTTGGGGCGAGACGGACAGGGCACCCCAGGTCGTCCTACAGGCGAGTCGAAGCGGACCTAAACCATAAAACCCCCTAAACCCTAAACCCTAAAGCCTAAACCCTAAACCCTAAACCCTAAACCCTAAACCCCCTAAACCCCCTAAACCCCCTAAACCCTAAACCCCTTAAACCCTGAAATCCCAAACTTAGACCGAAAAACCTCAACCCATCAAGCCCCCAAGCCCCCAAACTTAAACCTTACTTCAAACCTCAACTCTATCAAGCCCTAAACCACCTAAAACCCTCAACCCCTAAACCTCCAAACCCCTAAAACCCCTAAAGCCCTCAACCCCTAAAACCCCGAATTAAACTCTAAACCCCTGAAACCCCGAAGCCCTCGACCCCTGAACCCTAAGCCCTAAACCCCAAGCCCTAAACCCCTAAACCCCTAAACCCTAAACCCTAAAACCCTAAGCCCTCAAACGTCTCGTCCTGCTTGCACCAGGCTGCATTGGTCGACGAATGCCGCGGGGCACCCGGTCGACTAGGGGTTTCTGCCTACCCTTTCAAGAGGCTTCTGTACTTAAACGGGGGTTTAGGTTTTAGGGTTTAGGGTTTAGGGTTTAGGGTTTGGGGTTTGGGGTTTAGGGTTTAGGGCCCTACAGGGGTTATGTGGCTATTTCTCGAATTTTGCATCCTTAGTGGCAGCCCTGTTGGAAGGGTGTCGTATTCTGTAGGTGAAAAGAATGCGAGACGAATTTAGAGAACTACCCATGTACTGATGCAGGGGTTTAGGGTGTAGGGGTTAGGGGGTTGAATTCATTAGGATATTCTACAGGGTTCTCTTACCTACATAGAAGATTGGGGTGTAGGGTTTCGGGCTTAGGGCTTTGGATTTCTATATGAAGTATGGTCTGGGTTTGTGGTTTGGCGAGTGTACATAGGCTTCCCTAAAGATGTTGGTATGTGCATATACGGGATGTCTTTTCGAGCATGCTAATATAACGAACATCATGTAGCATATACTTGGAGACCTTGAAGGGGGCGCTACTGTGCGAGGGTAGCTTTTCTATATAAGTGCATGAACCCATGGGGCTACCAGTTCTTGATTGGGAGTTTTGGAACTCGCGCCTCTATGGGCTGATAATTCGCATTATTCATTCTATTTGTGCAGGTTTGTGGGCATAGCGTTTGGGACTGACTAACAAGGTTTAGGGCAACCCTTGAACCCTAAACCCTAAACAGCAGAGGCTTGTGGGGTTGCGGCTTTGCGGGTTTAGGGTTTGGGGCCGCGGCCTGGGGCTTTCGGCCTGGTGTTGCCTCGAACTCATGCTTAGGGTCTTAGGGTTAAGGGTTAAAGGTTCAGGGTTTAGGGTTTAGGGTTTAGGGTTTCCACACCTTCCATCCTGAGACCTGAAGAAAAGGATGAAAAGGCCTGCGACGCCTCACACCACCAACATGCAAACAGCTCGACGGCCCCTTATAAGCCATGTTACTTTACGGTTTACGGTTTACGGTTTAGGGTTTAGGGTTTAGGGTTTAGGGTTTAGGGTTTAGGGTTTAGGGTTACCCCAGCACCCCCGAACCCTAAATCCTAAACCCTAAGCCCTAGGCCCTAAACCCCAAACCCTGAGCGGTAGCAGACATCAGTTTTCGTCCTATAGGGCGTTTGTCTACATTAGTGTCCCTTTTTTTTTTTTTTGGGGGGGGGGGGGCTTTTGATAAGGCGCCGTAGTATTTTGGGACTCAAAGGGAACTACCCTTATATACTAACCCTAAACCTTCAAACCGTAAGCCGCGCAACTCAACCCTACCCAGATCTTCCAAATCCCCTTAATGAAGGAATTTACCTTAGTTCATAATATCTGATCCTTAGTATAAATTAGGGTATATTCCTGAACTAAGGGGTTTTGGAAGATCTGGGTAGACAGACCCCCGAACGACTTGCAAAAGCACTGTACCAAAGAGTCCCTTCAAAGCCCAAGCCGTGAACAACAAAAAAAACCCGAACCCTTCTGCACACCAACTTGCAGAAGCCAACCCCCTTCTACATCCCTCAGCCCTAGACCTGAAACAGGCCCCAACCTAAACCCCCAAAACCCGGTCCCCAACCCCCCCCTCCCCCCCCCCACCCCCCATCCCCGCAAACCCCACCACCCCCCCACCCCCTAAACCCAAAGCCCGCAAGTTCACCCTAATAAAGTCTAACCCTAAGGGCCCATGTACCTCATTGGTATAGACTTGGGCCTTAAAGTACTTCCTTACAGGGACTTTAGGGCCCAAGTCTATAATGATGAGGTACATGGACCCTTAGGGTAGCTGTACTTCTAACCCAATTATTGACGCTATTAGGGTACTTGAGGGGCTTATAAGTGAGTTATAGCCACACTTATAGTTGGCAACTGAAGTACCCTTTTAAAGTCTATGAGGGTTTAGGGTTTAGGGTTTAGGTGGTGCTCCATCTTTGGCCGACATCGGCCAGATGCAGCAAGAGCTCCGAAAGGTGCTTTCGAGGCCCCTGCGGATCCTCAAGGTTTTGGGGTTTAGGGTTTAGGGTTTGGGATTTGGGGTTTAGGGTTTGGGATTTGGGGTTTGGGGATTGGGGTTTTGGGTTTGGGGTTTAGGGTTTAGGGTTTTAACCCTAGAGTCCACCCTAAGTCCTAAACCCTCAAAGCCTCAGGGCTTTCATGTTGAAGTTTGGGGGGGGGAGGTACTTGCCAAGCAAGCGATCGCCAAGTAGGCTTCATGGGTTTAGGGTTTAGGCTTCATGGGTTTAGGGTTTAGGGTTTAGGGTTTAGGGTTTAGGGTTTAGGGTTTTAGGGTTTGGGGCTTTTCGGATTTTTTAGGCTTACACAGCCATTGGTTGAACTTTACACTTTCTGACTTTCCTTATTTAGTAGGAAAAAATGAGTTGAACCTCTTTTCCCATGGTTCTTTTTAGAAGTAAGTAGGGTTTAGGGTCCAACTTTGGGCCCCTATTTAAACCTGCGTTTAGCTGGCGTCACCTCCCTGCATTCCCGGCCCAAGCCTAACCCCTCAAGCCTGAATGTAAAGCCTAAACCCCGAAGCGCCAGGCCCTGACCCTATTATGCATCCTAAACCCCGAATTCCCTAAGCCCTACGCAAACCCTGAAAATTCCTAAACCCTGAGCCCTAAACCCAAACCCTAAACCCTAAACCCTAGACCCTACACCCTAAACCCTAAACGCTAAACCTGAATGCCCTAAATCCCAAGCCCTTTGCGGCAGGCACCTCCGCAGGATTTCGCTGGTGGGCCCCCGTCGCGCTCTGGGTGCCGCGCTCCTCTTGCAGGCGAGGGTTTCGGGTTTAGGGTTTAATTCGGGCTTAGGGGTTTAGGGGGTTTAGGGGGTGTAGGGGTTTAGGGGTTTTGGGGGTTCAGGGGTTTTGGGGTTTTGGGGTTTTGGGGTTATGGGGTGTTTGGGTTAAAGGTTTAGGGGTTTAGGGGTTTAGGGGTTGAGGGGTTCAGGGGTTGAGGGTTTAGGAGTTTAGGGTTGAGGGGTTTAGGGGGTTTAGCGGGTTTAGGGGGGTTTTAGGGGGTTTAGGGGTTGTGGGGTTCAGGGGTTTAGTTGTTTAGGGATTTAGGGGTTTGAGGGTTCAGGGAGTTTTAGAGGTTTAGGGGTTTAGGGGCTTAGGGGTTTAGGGGGTTTAGGTGGTTTAGGGTTTAGGAGTTTAGGAGTTTAGGGGTTTTGGGGTTTAGGTTTAGGGGTTTGGGCTTCAGGGGTGTAGGGGTTCAGGGTTCAGGGGTTTAGGGTTTTCGGGCTTACGGGGTTTAGAGGGGTTTAGAGGTCTAGGGGTTTAGAGGTTTAGGGGTTTAGGGGTTCAGGGGGATTTAAGGGTTTAGGGGTTCAGGGGGTTGAGGGGTATAGGGGTTTAGGGTTTCAGGGTTTAGGGGCTTAGGGTTTGGTTTAGGGTTTCGAGGTTTGGCTTGCAGAATTGCAGATCCCGCCACCCGTGCTGCGCCAGCATGGCGCCCAAAACGGCCAAGAAGGCTCGTGCCCTCCCACTGTGCTTTAGGGTTTAGGGTTTAGGGTTTCGGGTTTAGGGTTTAGGGTTACCCTCGGGGACTGCGGAGCTGCAGCAGAACGTGGAGAAGATCCTGGCCCACGATGTTTTCAATGGCATGGAGAGGCGTTGCCCATTCAGGAAGGGGCCGGTGGTGCCTCCAGGGTGGAAGGCATGTTCCGCTACGACGCTTTCCTAAAACCGTAAACCCTAAACCCTAGGCCCTAAACCCTAAACCCTAGACCCTAGACCCTAAACCCTAAACCCTAAACAAGCAGGCCATGAGGGAAAGGGGGTCCTACAAGAGCAGCTTCAACTTGATGATTCTGAGCTGGAGCTACAATCCCATGCGTCAGATGCCGTTGCGGGTCGCGGCAGTGGATCTTCTGAAGGATGTAGGCTTTAGGGTTTAGGGTTTAGGGTTTAGGGTTTAGGGTTTAGGGTTTAGTGCATGGTGTTTGGGGTGTAGGGTTTATTGGTTTAGGGTTTCCATTTCTTTCGCTTAAGGTTCTTTGGTTTCTTTCTTCGTGCGCCCCTGAGTCCTACGTTCCTATGGGTTTTGTTTCAGATTACAGACCTTTGGCGGAATGATGCAATTTTGTGAGTGTCGACTTTCTTCTAGATACTTGCGAGTGTATATAGGTTAGTACTCCCTATAAGCCCTAAAATCTATCCATCCTGAGCCCCGAACCCCGGACAGTAGCTAGACAGTAGCGACTGTCGCCACTTCCCCGTACAAAGGGGCCCCAAGTATTTGGTAATACTATTCTCTGGTCGCCCCTATAGTATAGACAAGGTACTTTGAACACTAGACCCCTGAGGGTCCATGTACCTCCTGATTATATACTTGGGCCCTAGAGTATAGGAGGTACTTTAAGGCCCAAGTATAAAATAATGAGGTACATGGACCCTTAGGGAACTGTACTCGACCCAAATGCCCATTCTAGTGAACTGGTCCCTATACTAGATCGAATCCCACAATCTGAAGCGCCTTCGAAGTGTGACTGCCCCCAAGATTCCTGACTGTCCTATAAGGGTTTAGGGTTTAGGGTTTAGGGTTTAGGGTTTAGGGTTTAGGGTTAGTTAGTGTAAGTTATGGCTTGGGGTCCAAGGGTTCAGAGAACCCCCGTAGCCTAAAGCTTTAGAGTCTGTGTCCGGCAGGCTATACATTGGCAAGAAGTGCACGCCCCTCAGTGGGCAGGTCAACCCAGAGAGCTCGAGACCCCTGAATTAAGGAACATGTCTGAGGGTATACAAGGATCCTTGGGTTTAGGGTTTAGGGTTTAGGGTGTAGGGTGTAGGGTGTAGGGTTTAGGGTGCAGGGCTTAGGATTCAAGGTATGTTCAGGGGTATTGGGCTCTTTGGGAAGTGTGGAGTTCACTTGGGGCGCCGCAGATCTTACGTAGGGCGGTTTTTGTTGAAAGGCTTGGGGTTCAAGGGCTTCGGGCTTCGGGCTTGGATGAACCCTCCCAAACATGAAAAACGATTCTTCTCATAAGGAAGGAGGGATTAAAGTCTTCTTTGTTGGGAGGGGGGTTCTTAAGCAAACAGTAGTTCAGGGTTGGATATACAAGCATGTGAGGTTACAGTGAGGTTCAGGGTTTAGGGCTTTGGTATGTGGAGTTGAATGTGTAGGAATCGGAGCGAGCCAGCTAAGGATGGGAACCCTAAACCCTAAACCCTAAACCCTAGACCCTAAACCCTAAACCCTAAACCCTGTGCCTTGAACCCCTAAAGGTGGAACTGTCGGGCTTGTCGCCTTTTGGCGAAGATCGGGGCTGAAGAAGGGGTTAGATGCAAGAGGGGTTTAGGGTTTAGGGTTTAGGGTTTAGGGTTTAGGGTTGGGGCTTTAGGAGTCTGCACCTAAACCCTAAACCCCCAACCCCCTAAACCCGAAATCCCCCCGAACCCTCATCCAGGGTTAGGGCGACAAATCCCCCGGGGTGCGACTACATCGACCCCTTGAAATGCAGGCTTGGGGTCGGTACGCTGGTCATCCCTCAGGGTGGCTTAGGGTTTACTGTAGGGTTTAGGGTTTAGGGTTTAGGGTTTAGGGTTTAGGGTTTAGGGTTTAGGGTTTAGGGTTTAGGGTTTAGGGTTAGTTTCATGGACCCTTAATGCGGTCCCCTAACCTCCTTCGAGGGGTTCTGATGTATGGGCCCTTAATTTGTACAGGGTATATAATTAAGGGTCATATAGGGGAGGTACCCTTTTTAAGGGCCCATACTAAGGGACTATGTAACTACCCTAAGATCATCCCCTCTCTCTCTCTCGCTCTCTCTCGCTACCATTTGCTTAAGAACCCCAAAAACACAAAAGACTCTGTTCCTTATATTGCCCTTATAAGAAAGAATATTTGTCATTTATGTTTTTGTGGCGGGGAGTTCTTAGGCAAATAGTCTCTCTCTCTCGCTCTCTCTCTCTGTCTCACATTCTCTCTCTCTCTCTCTCTCTCTCTCTCTCTCTCTGTCTCACATTCTCTCTCTCTCTCTCTCTCTCCACCAAAGCTTTTTTGCTTAGGGGCAAGCCTTTGAACAAAGCAATGCCTTGGGTTTGTCAAAGTTAGGGGGCGTCCCCTTTTTGGGTGAGGGGGGATTCCGAGGATACGGATTTTTCAGTTTCTGGAGGGGCCGGGTATATTTAAGGGGGTACACCCCTGGATGATCTTGGAAAATCCTAAACTTTTGCCACTGGCGCCCCTTGCCCTAAGAGCCCAATATAGCTTAATTAAGGAATTTTCCTTAAATCATATAATGATCGTTAATATGATTTAAGGTATATTCCTTCATTAAGGGATATTGGGCTCTTTGGGTGCATCACATGGCATTGCGCTTGAAAGTCTGCACGGTTGCTGGCACGACCTTCCACATCTCGGCCCACACGGAGACAACGGTCCGTGATGTACGGCGGCAAGCCGAGATTGCTTCAAAGGCGTTCATCAGCAAGCTTGTGGCAGAAGATGCCAGAATCTATATCCCCCTTGGGAATTACCTTTATTGTTGTTTACATAAAGCCCAAGAGAATATTAAACATACAATTCTTTTTTGAGGTTCTAAGGGGAGTATAGGAATTCTGGATGAGAGCCAGACCCTCTTAGATGTGATGGTGGGGGATGGTGACACGCTGCAGGCGGTCATCACAACTTTAACAGACGCCGAGAAAGTGGATGCAATAGTTGAGGACTATGAACCTTTGTCATAGTTGGGTACCATGTTACATGTTTTTAAGGGTACCTGAAACCCTAGAAGGAATAAACAGTTTAACTTGTGAACATTATCCCAGCCATGAACTAGGAACGCATAGGATGGGAGAAGGATGAGCTCGGGGAGCCGGAACATGTTGGCGACTTTGTTCTCATTAAGCTGACGCGGAACAAAGAGGAAGCCTCCTGTCTGTACCATCTTACTTCCTGGAAGCGTGGCGACGATGGCCTACTATCTGCTCAGTCGTTTATTAGTTCTGCTGGGGTGGGGCGGGGCCACCGCATGCGTTTTCAGGGGCTTGACAACGAGTGCGTCGAGGTCAGGAGTCTCAATTCTCCCACACGCGTGGTGCAAAACATCCAGCTGCAGTCTTTCCAAAGAATGTTCGATTTTGCCTCTGAGCAGGGCTTGAGCTACACAAATGTCATAGCATGGATCGAAGACGCTGCAGGAACTGAGGAGTACTTGCAGGACTTCATTTTCTCTGGAGATTGGATCATTCTCAGTACCAGCGAAGGTGGCTATCTCAATTTCTGCTCTTGCGATGGATATGCGACGGCCCACTTCGATCGAGTCTACCATTTTCCTTCCTGCAGGCATGGGGCTCTTGCATTGAAAGACTGCCGCCGCGTCGTCTGGCAGTTGGCCCTGGATGACCCGGCAGGGGGACCAGGGCAACAAGAGGATACCTCCCCTGAGGGGAGGAAACAGGAAGTGGATGGCTTGGCATTCGGAGGTAGTGGCCAGTTGCATCTATGTCGGCATGTGCTTCTGAACGGCCGCGTGCTTGCAACGAACATCGTTTCTACGATTGAGCTCGATGGCTTGCTTAAGCAATAAGACCGACACCCCACACCCGAAACCGCTGAGGTTTCTTTTTGTTTCGGTTCCAGGTTCCCTTAAACTCTAAACCCTAAACCCTAAGCTAACCAACCCCTGAATGGTTACCTGGGCTACCAAGGGTGTGGTAAAGTGCGGCGTGCAGCCTCCCTAAACCCTAAACCCTAATCCCTAAACCCTAAACCCTAAACCCTAAACCCCAAACCCTAAACCCCTTGAACTTAATGGCGTCGGAGTTGCTGTGGCCAATACGGCTACGGCACAGGTAGACAGTCATCGGGGGTACTTTGGCGGAGCAAGAATCTAAAAAAGGAAGCCAATGGGTTTCGGGTTCAGGGTTTAGGGTTTAGGGTCTAGGGTTTAGGGTTTAGGGTTTAGGGTTTAGGGTTTAGGGTTTAGGGAACGATGTGAACCAGCCATGCACTGCACTCTCCTCAACCACCCGATTCTAGCCCACCCAAACTGCCGCCCAGCAGTTGCCGAAGTAACGCGAGGGCCCTTTTTTCGGGGGCTTCCTGTTGCAACACGGAGCCTTGGTAGCCTTGTATTCAGAACAAGGGTTTAGGGCTTCGGTAGATTCCTAAGCCCTAAGCCCTAAGCCCTAAGCCCTAAACCCTAAACCCTAAACCCTAAACCCTAAACCCTATGTTGAGTTTGGCTCTCCTGTCTTGCTGCAGGCTCACATCCCTGGAGTGCACAGCAGCCTACTGTGAAGGGCGGAGGCAGAGAACCCCAACTTAACGGCCTGTCTAGTAACCAAAGAGCCCCAATATTGCTAAAGGGTTTAGGGTTTAGGGTTTAGGGTTTAGGGTTTAGGGTTTAGGGTTTAGGGTTTAGGGTTTAGGGTTTAGGGTTTAGGGTTATACCCAAAGAGCCCCAATATTGCGTAATTAAGGAATATTCCTTAAATCCTATAGGGATCCTTAATATGCTTTAAGGTATATTCCTTAATGAAGGGATATTGGGCTCTTTGGGTAGGGTCTTGCTTTTCTTCTGGCTGGCCCTTAGGACTTTAGCCTTTTGGGTTTTTGAAGCAACTACAATAAGGAGCCTAAAAGCCAAGGGGTTTATACAGGGCTCACAGGCTTTGTTTTTGTTTTTTGGAGTTGTTCGGCGTTGTAGGGTTTGCGGACGTGTAGAACTCTGTCCTCTTGAAGTAGATGGGCCTTCTGGGGTAGACTCTAAACCCTAAACCCTAGACCCTAAACCCTAAGCCCTAAACCCTAAGCCACAAGGCCCCCCAGACCCTAAACCTGTCGGGGTCTCAAGCTGTTGGTCTTGGGTTTAGTGTTTGGAGTGCATGGCCTGAAACCCTGACCGGGTTTAGGGTTTAGGGTTTAGGGTTTAGGGTTTAGGGTTTAGGGTTTAGGGTTTAGGGTTTAGGGTTTAGGGTTTAGAACCTCAAACCCTAAACGCCTTAACCCCACACCCTGCACCCTTCACAACTCTTCTACATTTAGACTTCGATGTCTTCACACAGACGTCCATGTCACGTCCATGTCCGGGGGTTCGAAATGCAGAGCCTCTTTAGCTCCTCTATGTCTGTGACTATAACCCTCCCCCGCCATAGATCTACTGCTAACCTGGGGAGGAGGGGGCGGGGTGAACCCTCAACCCTATAACCCTATACCCCTAAACCCTAAACCCTAAGCCCTAAGCCCTCAAACACAAAGCCGTGGTTCCTCTTTGTGTGGCTCTCGCCGCAGGCTGCAAGACTCATTCGAATGGCAGCGGCAATTCCAGCATCGTCGTGCACCGAGGGGCTCAGGGCTTTAGGGTTTGGGGTTTGGGGTTTGGGGTTCAGGGTTTGGGGTTTAGGGTTTAGGGTTTAGGGTTTGGGCTTCGAAAAGTTGCGGGGGTTTCCTCCTGGGATCTCTGCTCTCTGAGAATTCGTGCTCTTCTCTCATGCATACCATGGTTCAGTGGACTGGCCAAGGTTCAGGGTTCATAGGGTTTAGGGTTTAGGGTATAGGGTTTAGGGTTTGGTCTAGCTCAGAAGATTCATGAGCTGGAGTGTATGGCGGGGTTTGGAGTCAGAGTTTATGGCGTGAGGGATCCGACGCAGAAAGCTAGACACCAATTCCCAGACTGCTTTTCTTTGCTTGGCAATGGCCTGCAAATCGGCTAACAATCGCCCTTAAAACCTCTGAAATCTCGTCCTAAACTTTTTTATTCAGCCCAATAAGGGAAAATTTCCGTAGGGCCTACCTAGTCTGGATAGCTTCCGTACTCAGCCAGCACTTCAACTGGGCGCTCCTTTTATAGGGTTGGGTTCTGGGTTCTGGGTTTAGGGTTTAGGGCTAGGGTTTAGGGTTTAGGGTTTAGGGTTCAGGGTTTAGGATGGGGGAGTTCATCGGGGATAGGTACCTTAGGGAGCCTTAGGGAAGCTGAGGGAGTAGTGGCGAGTGGCGAGTATTAGGGAACCTTTGGTTACATACCCCCCTTGAACCCCTTCCTTAAGAACTCTATAATCACGCTAACCCGAAACCCTAAACCCTGCACCCTACTGAATGCGCTGTAGACCAAAGACCGAGGCTATGACTTCACCACAGGAGAGGTGCTGCTCTGCTGGTTCCGCCAGCTCGCTTTGTGTGATCTCTTGTGTTTTGCAGAGTTCAGGGTTTGGTGTTTAGAGGCTGCACTGGTGCATTCCTGCATCCAAGGGCATGCAGAGGTGTCCATGTCCAGTGCTGGAATTGGAGTTCCATCCAATCCATTTGCGAATTTGCGAATGAGGTCGCGAATATGGGACTCATGCTGCAGTGGCAACTTCTACTTGGAGTTCAACGCCATGCAGAGTCTCATCTTCTTGTCAATGATTGACGAGCTATGGGGAGAATATGCCGACATAGGAGTGGACGCGGACATCAGGGCAGACTGGTTGAAGTCCGTAGACTGGGTCGCAAGATCGTGGCTCGCCGCGAGGTGGCATTTCGGCAAGATGTTCGCTGAGAATTCAAACCATGCTTGGGGGGGGACATTTTCTCTTACACCCCGCCTGGGTTCTCATGGTTCGAGGCTCACGATGTAAGCTCTAAGAGTCCCAGCCCCTAGTGCAATTCTGCAAGGCACTCAGCTGTAAAATGTACGTAAGCTTTTGGGAGGAACATCCCCCTTCTACTACAGTCCTTAATAGGGATTATGGTACCCCTTATTCTAATCCCTATTAAGGACTGTTAGTATAAGGGGGAATACCCCCAATCTATGCTGTATATCGTACCAGTCAGTAAAATAAAGCACCCAAGCTGGAGTGTAAACACAAATTTCACTTGAGGCTTCAAGCGGTCGCTGTTTGATAGCGTTCTTAAGGGGGGGTTCCATGGCGGATAGGTACCTGGGGAGCCTTACGGAAGCTTAGCCATTTGGGGTTTAGGGTTTGAGGGGTTTATAGGGTTTATAGGGTTTATAGGGTTTATAGGGTTTATAGGGTTTATAGGGTTTATAGGGTTTATAGGGTTTCTAGGGTTTTTGAGGTTTTGGGGTTTTTGGGGTTTTTAGGGTTTTTAGGGTTTATGGGGTTTATGGGGTTTATAGGGTTTATGGGGTTTATGGTGTTCATGGGGTTTATAGGGTTTATAGGGTGTATTTCTAGCTCCAAGAATCCAACCCCGTAGTGCGATTCCACAGCACTCAGCTTTGAAATGCAAGCTTTGGGACGTTCCCCCTTCTACGAACAGTCCTTCATAGGGATTCTAGTACCTCCCCTATATAGTCCCTTTCCAGGACTGTTAGTATAAGGGGGAACATTGGGATATTGCACCAACCAACCAAATAGAGCACCTAAGCTGGATTGTATAAGTACAGGGTTCAGGGTCGCACTTTGTAGAGCCAGTAGAGGCCCGTAGCGTTGACATCGTACTAAGATCTTGGAATTAAGGGAATAGACCCCTGGCTCATAATAGCGACCCTTCGTAGAACTTAGGGTACATTCCTTAATTAAGGGGTTTTTGGGAAGATCTGGGGTGTTAAGATCGTACCTGCCCGTCATCATCTGGCAGCCCCGGAAGTTACCCTTGAGAGGCCACAGAGGTAAACCCTAAACTCTAAACCCTAAACCCTAAACCCTCCTGAAGCCTAAACGAAAACCTAAATCTCAGGGCATGTAGGAATGTCCAATGTGGGGGCTTTACGAGAATAGGGGGGGGGGCCTACAACAGACCGCCACAGAGTATGATCCCCTTATAATAAGGACCCGAATACGGCACCCCGAATATCGGAAACCCCCACAATGTTCGTAACTGTTCTACAGCTATGAAGGTGCAGCGTAGAATTCTAGAGCTCTGCTCTTATTGCTGCTTTTTAGGGGGTTTGCGCTTTTGCCTAATCTCACCCCAAAGATCGCAAAGCCCCATTACCCAGACCCCTGGGAGGATCCAAAAACAAATCCCCTTCAGGGTTCCTAAAATTGACCCACTAGTCGTAGAGGGTACTATCTGGGGGTTCTATTTTTTGGATCCTCCCAGGGGTCTGGGTAGGAAGCCCCAAGCGAAGCCCCAACACGACAGCTTGGATTGGTCGATGAGCTATGGCTTTGAGTGCCTTGATGGCACTTGAGTGCAGTCGCGAAGCTAGGGTTTAGGGTTCAGGGTTAGAGTTTAGGGTTTAGGGTTTAGGGCCTTTTAGGGTTTAGGGTTTAGGGTTTGTAGGGTTTAGGGTGTAGGGTTTAGGGTTTAGGATTTAGGGTTTAGGGTTCAGGGTTTAGGGGTGTACCCTCAGGCTCCAAATAGCCAACACTGAGCATTAATTCCAGACTTTCGACCCCAATGTAGGTGCTTTTTTGTCTACTTGGAGCCCTAAGGTTAGTCTCTCCACCTGAACCCTAAACCACACATGCCCTTACTTGGTTTGAGAGCAGTATCTGCCCACGCGGATGCTTTCTTGCCTCTGACTGAACACCAGTCCCTATACCCTAAAGTGCCTGTGTCGGTTTCTTGGGTCGTCAGATTTGTTGTTGTAGATTTTGTGTGCTGCCTTTTATACCAAGGGCCCGTGAAAATGTAGCGTCTGTGCGGGGCTTGTTTGGGCTTTGTTCTTGGGGCCGTGTCCGTATTCGGGTTTAGGGTTCAGGCGTGGGGATATATAGAGTTTGAGGGTTCATCCTAGCACCGGGATTTTGGGTAGGCTTGGGGTCCCGGGTTTGGTGCCGGTTTTGAGTTCCATTCTAGAGGGTTTAGGGTTTAGGGTTTAGGGTTTAGGGTTTAGGGTTTAGGGTTTAGGGTTTAGGGTTTAGGGTTTAGGGTTTGTCTAGCCTAGCTACAAGGTACGTCGGCTGCGCCGCGCGATTGGCAGCAACCTCGGCCTTGGTGCCTACCGGCATTTAGGGTTTCGGGTTGTTTAGGGTTTAGGGTTTAGGGTTTAGGGTGGTGTAGGGTTTAGGGTTTAAGGTTTAGGGTTTAGGGTTTAGGGTGGTGTAGGGTTTAGGGTTTATGGTGGTGTAGGGTTTAGGGTTTAGGGTTTAGGGTTTAGGGTTTAGGGTTTAGGGTTTAGGGTTCAGGGTTAAAGGGGGAGTTGTGCTCAACTGGGGGTATTTATTCTGCGAGGTGAAGTTACAAAGCATGGCAAGCCCGAAGCCTGAAAGCCCGAAACCTTTGCCCTCATAAAGCCCTGAGCCCCACAGACCTAAAGCCACAGGCTCAGGGTGCAGCTTCTTCGTGGCCGAGCGTAGTTTGCGCAGACTGTAGGGTGCACCCATTCACCTGTAGAGTCCTTTATTCCTAGGATGCCCAGTAGAAACCTTATTCCCTTTTTTTGGGGGGGTTAGGTTCCCTTGTAAACCCCTTTAAGCAAAAAAGGGGCACCCTTTTTAAGCCTAGGTTACTGGGCAGCCTAGATTCTCAGTTCTGAAATAATGATGGTTCCATGTTGGGCACCCTAAACGTTAAGGAGGCCGCCTTCTAGTAACCCCAAACGGGACCATAATATGGAGAAGTCACCATATGACCTTGAGACCCTGGATTGGAAAACATACGTAAACCCTAAACCCTAAACCCTGAACCCTAAACCTCAAACCCTAACCCCTAAACCCTAAACCTGGAATGGAAAAAGTATGTGGAGTTTTATTGGGCTATGGGGTTCTTCAGCTACCGCTAGCACTTGTACGAGTGCCCCATCTCCGAGCCCTGCATCTAGATGTGGGCTATTTCCCAAAATAGGGGTACCCCCTTTGCTTCCCCAAATACAAGAGAATCCCCTTAAAGGGACCCCCAAAAAGGGTACCCCAATTTTCGGACACTCCCATATCTGTGGTGTGTTCTGGTTCAACCTCCCCACCTCCACGGAGAGAATTTAGGGCTTGGGGGAGTAGGGGTTGCGGGGCGGTGTATCCTTAAGGTTTATAGGGCTTATAGGGCCTACCCTAGCTTCTAGCCCAAGACAGTGAGGCTGTTTCGCAAGAGTGTACGGCGGGTTTAGGGTTTAGAGATTCAGGTGTGTTCCCTCTATATACATATATATATATATATATTAAATATGTTCAGTTTATACATACACATACGTATGTTTTTTTAGATGCATGCACACCCATTCTAACAGCCTTGGACTTAAGGTATTCCAGCTGCGAACGCCAAACCCTCAAACTTCTCCTAGACTCTTCTCACACGAGCCCAACTCCAAAACCTCAAACCCTAAAGTGGTGTAATTAGGGTTTGGGATTAGGGTAGGGTATTTTGTAAATTAAAGTGTATGCCCTTGACGGGGTTAGGGTTTAGGGTTCAAGGTTTAGAGTTTAGGGTTCAGGGTATTTTGTAAATTTAAAGTGTATGTCCTTAACTAAGGGGGTATTGGGCTCTCTGGGTACGAGGTCCGCACCCCTCAGTCGGAGCGCTGTGTTTTGGCTGCAGATGCTAGAAGAGCAGGTTGAGGGTTTGAGGGCTTGAGGGCTTGAGGGTATGAGGGTTTGAGGGTTTGAGGGCTTGAGGGTTTGAGGGTTTGAGGGCTCGAGGGTTTGAGGGTTTGAGGGCTTGAGGGTTTGAGGGCTTGAGGGTTTGAGGGTCTGAGGGTGTGAGGGTTTGAGGGTCTGAGGGTCTGAGGGTCTGGGGGTTGGAGGGTTTTGTAGAAGTCTTTCGGGCTTAGGGTTCCGTTCAGGCTTTGTGGCATGCATGGCTTGGGGGTTGAGGGCTCAGGGTTCGAGACTTAGGGCTTAGGGTTTAGGGTTTAGGGGTTTAGGGTTTAGGGTTTAGGGCTTAGTCTGCAGATTCGGGCTTGTGGTGTCGAGAATGCCCTATGTACCCCCTATCCAACCCCCTGTCTAGGGGGGCAGGGTATGGCGGGGGGTGAAGGTGTGAGGGTCCGAATCCCAAACTAGGATGCCCAGTAGTACCCTTATTCCCTTTTTTGGGGGTTTAGGTTCCCTTATAAACCCCTTCAAGCAAAAAAGGGCACCCTTTTTAAGCCCAGGTTACGGGCAGCCTAGCAAAAAGAGGAGTCCTCCGAGGTTCAAACTCGAAACCCAAAGGTCCCTCCAACACCATCACGCCGGCCCTTTGGTTTGTTTCAGGGCTTTTGAGGGTTTAGGTTTAGGGTTTCGGGTTTAGGGTTTAGGGCTTGGGGCTTAGGGCTTCGGGTTTCGGGTTTAGGTTTTGCAGGGTGGAAGGAGCCCTCAACCCCAAACGCTCAGCCCCGCCACGCAAGTCCCGTTGCGCCCAAGGCTTCCTGACCTTTGCCGCGGCAATGCGCCAGCAAAGCCTTGCACTGCTCTCAGCCTGACGGGCATAGGTGTCTGGCCTGGGGTTTAGGGTTTAGGGTTTAGGGTTTGGGGTTAAAATTTAGGGTTTAGGATGACCCTAAGCCCTAAACCCTACACCCCATACTTACTTCGCCAAAAGCTGAACTTTAAACTTTCAGTTTCCTTATTCAGTAGGAGTAAAAAAGTTTAACCTTTTTTCTCCTGGGTTATTGGAGAAGTAAGCATAAGCCCTAAGCCGCATAGGCTTTGACCCCCCGCCCCCTTCCCCTGCTCGCCCAAGGAAGCCCGAAGAACAACCGGACCACCACAACCCCAACTAGGGTTCAGCCCTAAAGCCTGAAAGAACCCTAAACCCTGAACCCTGAACCTTAAACATCAAACCCTAAACCCGAAACCCTAGATCCTAAACCCCAAACCCCCGGACCCTAAACCCTAAACCCTAAACCCCAAACCCCAAACCCCAAACCCCAAACCCCAAACCCCCATATCCTAAACCCTAAACCCTGAACCCTAAACCCTAAACCCTAAATAAACCCTGAACCCTAACCCTAAACCCTAAACCCTAAACCCTAAGCCCAGCGAGTCCCAGGCCTCCTTTGGGTGCACCAGCCTTCCGGGCTCTGGACAGGCGAGCCGTTCAGGGATTCAGGGTTTAGGGTTTAGGGTGTAGGGTGTAGGGTTTAGGGTTTAGGGTTTACGGGCTTCTTTCCAAGGTATCTTTCTACTTGTCATTTTTGTTCTCGCGCCGCCCTCAGAAGTGGGTGTGAAGGAGGCCACGCGGCTGATGCGCGAGATGCTTCCGTGACCTTCAGTGTAGGCGGCAAGGATGGCGAGGTGCTGCATCTGACCGGATTAGGGTTTAGGGTTTAGGGTTTAGGGTTTAGGGTTTAGGGTTTAGGGTTTAGGGTTAGCCCCCTGCTCCTTGTCGGGGTCGGGTTCGACTCTGCTGGCTTCGGGGTCACTTCTGGCGCCAGCGAGAACTTGTTGTGCTCGCTTTAGGGTTTAGGGTTTAGGGTTTAGGGTTTAGGGTTTAGGGTTTAGGGTTTAGGGTTTAGGGTTTAGGGTTTAGGGTTAGGGTTTTGGGTTTTGGGTTTTGGGTTTTGGGTTTAGGGTTGATACGTTTCTATGCGTCAGTGGTGTGAGAGAGCGGAACGAATCGTCTGAACGAATTGTCTGCTTCTCACCGCCGCATCTTTTCCAGGTGCAACGACACAAAGACCCCAACATTGCTTAGTTAAGGAATATTCCTTCAATCCTATAGGGACCCTTAGTAGGATTTAAGGTATATTCCTTAGTTATGCAATATTGGGCTCTTTGGGTCGTTCACAAGTATAGCCGTGTGGGCCGCACGCTTTGCCGTTCAAATGCGCCCTATTCCCTTGGCGTTTCAGCTAACCCAAAGAGCCCAATATTGCTTAACCCCTTTAGGGATCCTTGATATGATTTAAGGTATATTCCTTAATGAAGCAATATTGGGCTCTTTGGGAAAGTTCGGAAGTTTGCACATCCCTGATCAATGAAAGTGTTGGATGAGGGAGCCCAGAGGCAGGCGAGACCAGAGGTTTAGGGTTTAGGGTCTAGGGTTAGCGTTTTAGGGTCTAGGACGTTTAGGGTGTCGGCGTGTGGGGCGTTCGAGTTTAGTGCATGCTCGAGGTTTTGGGGTGTAGGCTTTAGGGTTTAGGGTTTAGGGTTAAGGGTTTGGGGACACAACAGGGACTTGGGGCTTGGGTGGTTGTGCTGCTCTTGGCCCAAGACAAGATCCTTGCGCGGTTTACGGTCCAGGGTTTTAGGGTTCAGGGCAGATTTTCCAAGCCCTTCACCTGCAACCCGTCACCGGAATTTCGGCTGAGGGTCTTGCGGCTTTTGGGGCTTTTGGGGTCGAAGGGTTTGGGTACATTTTGGGTTTGCGTTTCGAGATTGTGCGGAAGTTAGGAATGAGCCTGAAAGGCCCCTAATCCCAACAGCCGGAACCCTAAGGCTTACCACGGTGGTTCCCGGATCATGGAACGTGATGTTGTTTCTATGCAGCACAACGGGGCTTTCTCAGGGAAGAGATTTAAGGACTAGCATTTCCTGCCCCTTCTCCACCTTAGGTCCCTTTGTGGGACTCTATATGCCGAACGTAGTACGGCATCTTATCTAGGGACGCAGAGTAGGCCTTTTTTTCCCTTTTATAGGGTTTAGGCCCCCTTTAAACCAGAAAAGGGCACCCTTGTTTATTCCCGGGTTATTCTTGGGTCTAGTCATACAAAGGACCCCCCAAAACGGCCCTAACTACCCCAGGATTGGTTTTTGCGGCAAGGTGCTTCCAGATGTGGAGGTGGTGTAGGGCGACATAGCTGAGTGAGCAGAAGTTGCATCCGCGAACCTAGGTTTGCGGTTTAGTGTTTACGGTTTAAGATTTAGGGAGTTCGTCCTCAGGGTGCGGGGTTTGGGGTAAGGGTTCAAGTCATTCCCGCTGGAAGGCAGCAGTCGTGCGAGAGCTGGCAAGCATGGCCGCCGCGTTCTCAGTTCTGAGGAGCTGTGGTCGCATAAAGGTTCCTTCCCCTTAGGGTGCCTGCTCAGAACGAAAAACCCTAAAACGGCCGCCCGCATACTCTTCCCAAAAGCGTTTCTTTAGGATCATCAGGAGAGCCCTAAACTCTACTCCCTAAACCCTAAACCCTATAGACCCTTCAAACCCCTGTGAACCCGTAATGCCTACAACCCCTTAAGCCCTAAACCCTAAACCCATGACCCTATTACCCCCAAAACGCAAGCTGAGGGGTGAATCCATAGCAAGGCAACGAGCGCCCATGGAAGAGACGCCAAACCTTTAAGGCCCATGTACATGGGGTTTAGTTTAGGGTTTAGGGTTTAGGGTTTAGGGTTTAGGGTTTAGGGTTTAGGGTTTAGGGTTTAGGGTTTAGGGTTTAGGGTTTAGGGTTTAGGGTTTAGGGTTTAGGGTTTAGGGTTTAGGGTTTAGGATTTACGGTCCTGGGTGCCTGGGTTAAGTCGAGCAAGGTGACCTTGGTGATCTACACACAAGAGCTTTGTAGTGTGGGGAAGGTCGTCTCGAACCCTAGAGCACCAAACCCTGAACCCTGAACCCTGAACCCTAAACCCTAAACCCTAAACCTCTCCTACCATATAATTATAAGCCTTCATGGTCTTCGTGGGCAAGGCCCAACATGCGGATTTTGGGCCTTGCCCACGAATACTAGGATGCACAGTAGTACCCTTATTCCCTTTTTGGGGGATTTGGGTTCCCTTATAAACCCCTTTAAGCAAAAAAACACCCTTTTTAAACCTAGGTTTCTGGGCAGCCTAGAATATTTGGGCCTTGCCCACGAATTGTTGGGCCTTTTGGTTCGTGGGCAAGGCCTAAAAATTCGTGGGCAAGGCCCAGAAATTCGTGGGCAAGGCCCAAACATTCGTGGGCAAGGATCAAAAATTCGTGGGCAAGGATCAAAACTTCGTGGGCAAGGCCCAAAAATTCGTAGGCAAGGCCCAAGAATTCGTGGGCAAGCCCCAAGAATTCGTGGGCAAGGCCCAAAAATTCCCCTGAGACCCTAAACCCTTGAGACCCTAAACCCTAAACCCACATTTAGGGTTTCAGGGCCTCAAGGCCTGGTGTTTATGGTTTCCAGGGCCTCAAGCCCTGGTGTTTAGGGTTTCAGGGCCTCAAGCCCGGGTGTTTAGGGTTCCAGGGCCTCAAGGCCTGCTGTTTAGGGTTTCAGGGCCTCAAGCCCGGGCGTTTAGGGTTCCAGGGCCTCAAGGCCTGGTGTTTAGGGTTTCAGGGCCTCAAGGCCGGGTGTTCAGGGTTTCAGATCCTCAAGGCCTGGTGTTTAGGGTTTCAGGGCGTCAAGGCCTGCTGTTTAGGGTTCCAGGGCCTCAAGCCGTGGTGTTTAGGGTTCCAGGGCCTCAAGGCCTGGTGTTCAGGGTTTCAGGGCCTCAAGCCCGGGTGTTTCGGGTTTCACGGCCTCACCTGGTGTTTAGGGTTTCAGGGCCTCAAGGCCTCAACCTCCTCGTCTGTTAAGTGGTGGTCATTAATTTTGTTGTTGATCCATCCTGATAAAAGGGAAGAAGCTTTGTATTTCTTAATGTTCTGGGAACTTCGTGTGGGTGGGTGTTTTTTCGATGTTCTAAACAACGAGCCTAAACGAGAGACTGCTCGACCAGGAGCTCTTGAACCCTAAACTCTAAACCCTAAACCCTACACCCTAAACCCTACACCCTGAACCCTAAACCCTAAACCGTGAACCCTACACTCTGTGGCTCATCACGTGCGGGTTAGCATCTTCACGCATCCCCCAGCGATGCTTGACCCACAGCAGCGTGACTATAATGTTAATGCGAAACCCTAAACCGCAACCCCTTAACCCTAAACCGGGTTGTGTCAGCAGTACTGTTAAACTGTTGCGCCCTTGAATTGGGGAAGGACTGAAGACAGAAAAGAGATTGAGAGAGCCACGATACCCAAATCCTAAACCCTAAACAACCCTAAAAACCCTAAATCCTAGACTTAACCTACAGTAACTCCAGAAAGTTGGAACATGGTCGAAGGATGATTAGGGAGCTTGGCTTCCCTTTGGTATACCTTTTGGGTATGGGGATATGGATGTTCCATTATTAGATACTTGGGCCCTAAAGCCCCTGTATAGAAGGTACTTTAAGGCCCAAGTTTATAATCATTAGGTACATGGATCCTAAACCCTAGCCCTAAACCCTAAACCCTAAACCCTATAGTATATAATAGTTAGGTACATGGACCCTGGGGGTTCCAACTTTTTGGCATTTACTGGAATCCCCACACCCGGCACTGGGTGATCTCCGCGAGCAACCTTCAGGTGAATTTCCACGGTCTCGTTCAGGATTTATGGTTTAGATTTCTTTTTTTCGGGTTTAGGGTTTAGGGTTTAGGATTTGGGGTTTAGGGTGTAGGGTTTAGGGTTTAGGGTCTAGGGTTTAGGGTCCCTGATGTATAGTTAGCTTCGTGAATAGGACTTAAGGGCTGGGCGTGGGGGTTGCGTGGCCCGGTCCCGAAGCTCCTCATGCCCTGAGCTCCCTGTGCACGCTTTCCCTACACCCTAGACTCCTAAAAGCTCCCTAAGCCCTAAACCTAAGGACTCAGTATAAGGGGGAACATCCCAACCCTAAACCCTAAACCCTAAACCGTAAACCCTAAACCCTAAACCCTAAACCCTAAATCTGGTTTATGGTTAAACTCCGTAAGCCCTAAGCTCCCTAAGCCTAGCAAGCCCTCTTCTCAGGCTGTGCCGCTGCTGGAGACAGCGCCTGCGCCGCTTGTTCGACATGCTTTTCCCCTGTTTAGGGTTTATGGTTTAGGGTTTAGGGTTTAGGGTCTATGGTTGACGACCTGAACCCTGGACCCTAAACCCTAGCCAAATCCCCTTGGCCCAAACCCTAAACCAAAACAGTTTTCAAGACCCGCTGTTCAAAGCTGTCTTTCTTTGTTGCCGAATGAGCTTGGTGGTACCCTAAACCCTAAGCTCTAAACCCTAAACCCTAAACCCTAAACACTTTTGTTGGTTCACGGTTTCTGTAGCAAGCAACCAACCCAACAAACGGCGTCCCTGTGATGTGTTTACCGGGTTCGCAGTAAAGAACCTTATAGACCTTCAAGGGTTTAGGGTTTAGGGTTTAGGGTTTAGGGTTTAGGGTTTAGGGTTTAGGGTTTATAGGCTTCGAGTTGAGTCCTGTTTTGGCACCCGAACCTTACACCCTAAACCGTTGGAGCTGGACAGGTGACCAGGAGCCTGAGTGGAACCCTAAACCCCAAACCCTAAACCCTAAACCCTAAACCCTAAACCTTAAACCCTTCGTTAGTCTAAGGCAGATGGAGGCCTCCGCCATGCAGCCGTGGCCTGAGTCGCTAGGACACTCTGAGTCCGTTTGGGGGTGCAGGGTTTAGGGCTTAGGGCTTAGGGTTTAGGGTTTAGGGTTTGGGGTTTGGGGTTTAGGGTTTAGGGTTTGGGTTTAGGGTTTAGGGTTTGGAGCTTGGGGTTTAGGGTTTGGGGTTTGGGGTTTTGGGTTTAGGGTTTGGGTTTAGGGTTTAGGGTTTAGGGTTCAGGGTTCAGGGTTCAGGGTTCAGGGTTTAGAGTTTAGGTTTCAGGGTTTAGGGTTTAGGGTTTAGGGCAGGGTTTAGGGTTTGGGTTTAGGGTAGCGTGTCCGGAGCTTGAGCTGGTTTTGGGACGGGTTTGGGCGCAAGTGTTGGGCGGATTTGGGGCGTGATTTTGGGGCATTGCCCTAAGCCTAAACCGTTTGGGGAGCCTTTGGGGATCTCTTTGGCGGGCTTTGGGGGGCATCTTGGCTTGTTATTTCTGCGGCACATTGGGAATTGTTGTTGTTTCTTGCGGGATTGATGCGGCATTGTGGGCTTGTTTGTTGGTCGGGTGGGTTTTAGGTGAAAGTCCTGGGCATGTGTTCGGAAAATGTTGTTGCTTTTCCTTTGCCAGGGTGTCTTTTCGGAAGTTGCATGAGGAACACATCGTTCAAACTTCGAAGTTCTCCGTCCCAGCCTGGCCCTAATTCTGCATGGTCGTCATTTCTTGATCTGCGAGATCAATCGCCAGGACATTGGCCTTGTCTTCTGGCTGGTGCAGGAGCAGACAAGCTGCATCGTCTGGGTTAGACTCGTCTCGCGGGCGTTCGGCACGATTCGTGGCCAGAATGCCGGCGCCACCCAGAATGCACAAAGCCGCTCCTGAGGCGGTACAGTGCCCCTTCCACAAGGAGTGCTCCGAGTGGAAAAGTCCTAGGAGCGCAGTCTGCCGCCACTGCCACGATGAGTTCTGGATTGTGATCTGGATTGTGATCTCTCTCTCTCTCTCTCTTTTTTTTTTTTTGGGGGGGGTTCTTTAAGCAAATATAATATAGGGGACGGAAGAATTACGAATTACGTTCCCTTCTGGTCCCTTTGTAATTATACTGGGATAAACCCCCCAAAACCCTATTCTAATTATTATTCAGGCCCCTATAATACCCGAAGCCCCTTTAGAACCAAAAACCCTAAACCCTAAACCCTAAACCCTAAACCCTAATTCCCCTTTTTTTTTGCGGGTGGGGGGGGGGGGGGGGGGGGGAAATTCAAGTGGGTTGTAAGTAAAGTCATAATTGGCTACCAAGTACCCTGAACCTCCAGGTAGAAGGCGTAGAGGATGAAAGCAACCCCAGGATGCCCAGCCTTTCCAAAACCGCCACAAAACCTTTTAGGGTTTAGGGTTTAGGGTTTAGGGTTTAGGGTTTAGGGTTTAGGATTTAGGGTTTAGGGTTTAGGGTTTAGGGTTTAGGGAATAACCCACAACCCCAAAACTACCATCTGCTTCAGAACCTAAGTTACGCCTAATTTGGCTAGAAGTACGGTTATAAGCACAGTTATCATTGGGGTTTAGGGTTTAGGGTTAAGGAATGTTAGTATAAGGGGGAACATCCCAAGTTTAGGATTTATTGAGACCCTAGAACCCACCATGCCAAGGGAGGGGTTTAGGGTTTAGGGTTTAGGGTTTAGGGTTTAGGGTTTAGGGTTCAGGGTTCAGGGTTCAGGGTTTAGGGTTTAGGGTTTAGGCTCCTTGGAGCCTTAGGTACGTAGGCCTTAAATCTTCAAGCCTCAACTCGGAGCCCGAATCCCTAAAACCCCAAACCTTAAACCCGAACCCTTAACCCTTAACCCTAAACCCTAAACCCTAAACCCTAAACCCTAAACCCTAAACCCTAATCCCTTCATCTCAGGGTAGTCATATGGGCCCTTATAGGGTTCCAGGAGGGGCCCTTGGGTCGTAGAGGGTAGACAAGGGGTTCCCCTTTTCAGAACCCATACTAAGGGACCATCAACTAACCTTAAACCCCCAACCCCCAAACCCCAAACCCCAAACCCCAAACTCCAAACCCCAAACCCGAAACCCCAAACCCAAACCCAAAACCCAAACCCTAAACCCCAAACCCTAAACCCCAAACCCCAAACCCTAAACCCTAAAGCCTCCAGCCACCTTGGCTGTCCAGGCATATGCTGGCGGGCGTGGCTGCGACCAATGCCTGGAGCGCCGCTGGCGAGTTGACTTGGGATCCGGTATACTGCGTTCCTAGGGTTTAGGGTTTAGGGTTCCTTGGGTTTAGGGTTTAGGGTTTAGGGTTTAGGGTTTAGGGTTTAGGGTTTAGGGTTTAGGGTTTAGGGTAGCCAGAGTGGCCCTTATTCCCTTCTTTAGGGCTTCTTAGGGTCGCTCATAGGCCCCTTTAAAGCCAAACAGGGCACCCTGTGTATTCCTAGGCTAGGTTCCTGCCGAGGATCTTGGATCAGAATAGATTGGGTACCATATATGACTGCTAACTGAATACAAGCCCGAACCCCCAAAGTCAAAGCCTAAACCTCAAACCCGAAACCCTTAACGCTAGACCCTGATCCCTAAATCTAAGATTAGTTCTGTGGGCCCTTGATATGGTCCCTAACCTCCTTAAACGGGTTTTTGGGCCCTTGGGTCGTATTCCCGAAAAAACCCAGCTTAGGCATTCGGGGGTTTGGATCCCTAAACCCTAAACCCTAAACCAGAGGAGAAGGCAAAAGGCCCCCTGCGTGAAAGGCTCAGGAAGGACAGCACAAGGAACTCCTACGCCGTCTTCCAGTTCAAGGACAAGTTCTACCAGTGGAAGTGGAACAACGACTCGATGTACTGGTACTTCTTTGACAGCCAATGAAAGGAACCACCACACGGTCGATGGATCAAGCAGCATCGCGACAAGAACGGCAAGAAGACCCTTAACCCCTAAACCCCCTGAACCCTTAAGTTTTGAAACCCCTAAACTCCCCACCCTGAACCCTAAAGCTTAAACCCTGAACTCTGCACACTGTTGCCCTGGGACTTGCTGCACACCCCTTGACAAGGGCCTCAAGGGTACCTAATGAGGCGGCACTTGGCGGGTTTAGGTGGTGGGTCAGGGTTTAAGGTTTAGGGTTTAGGGTTTAGGGTTTAGGGTTTAGGGTTTAGGGTTTAGGGTTTAGGGTTTAGGGTTTAGGGTTCGGGTCTAGGGTTTGTAGTGTTAAGGTTTAGGGTCATTCCTTGTTTGCTTGGTATTTGGCGGCAATGGTGCCATCACAGGGAAGGAACGAGAGGATGGGCAAGCTTGTTGAAGCCGGGCTATTACTTCCTTCTTGAAACTTTGCGTCTGTTCACTCGTGTAGCAGGCCCCTGCCCCAAACCCCACAAACCCTAATCCCTAAACCCTAAGCCCTACAAGCCCTAAACCCGAAACCCCAAACCCTAAACCCCACAAGCCCTAAACCCTAAACCCCAAACCCTGAGTCCTTTAATCTAGGATGCCCAGTAGTACCCTTATTCCCTTTTTTGGGGTGTTTGGGTTCCCTTATAAACCCCTTTAAGCAAAAAAAAGGGCACCCTTTTTAAGCCTAGGTTACTGGGCAGCCTAGTCATCTTTCTTAGTCCAGGAGCTCCTGGGTGGGTCTTTGGGCTTCTGGCTTCCGAGCTTAAATGCCAAACCACCCCCCTACTCCTCGAATGGACAAACCGAGAATGCCACCAAAATCCCTAGTATCCTAGTAGCAGAGTAGGTAGCCTTTAACCTTTTTGGGGGGTAGTATAATCCCCTTATAATCCCAAAGGTTAACCTTTAGTTCCGCCAGGTTACTGGACAACTAAGATATTCTCAGCTAGCCACCGAACCTTTTGGGCTTCCTTATCTGGGTCCCAGTTATTTAGTATAAATTATGAAGTTTAACTTTGCTTTATTCTCTTGTGATTGGAGAAGTAAGGAGTCGTTGAAATCCGTTGACACAACCACAACTGCAGTAACTGTTTTTTCTCTGGTTATTGGAGAGTTAAGTAGTCGTTGAAAGTCGTTGCCACAAACACAACTGCAGTTAACCCTAAACCCTAAACCCTAAACCCTAAACCCTAAACCCTAAACCCTAAACCCTAAACCCTAAACCCTACAAGCTGAGCTCACCCGAGGCGATCTCCACACGCCCTAGACCCCAAATGGGGGGTTTCGCAAAAAAACGGGACTTTCTTGGGTCCTGATGATTTGGGGTTTAGGGTTTTTAGGGTTTAGGGTTAGGGAGTCCTGCTGTTTGGGGTCTATATTCGGGTCCCTGATATCCCGAAACCCCAAATCTCTACAGCTTTGCGCCTAGAAGCCTTATAAGCCCACCCTAAACCCTATATAGACCCTAGAAGCCCTAAAAGCCCCAAGGGGGGTGGGCGGGGGCACAGCACGCCAGGCTTCTTGCGCTGGTCCAAGGAGCTCACATGCTGCAGTGGCGAGGCACCAGCCTCTATGATCCAGATCTTTGAACTTAGGTACTGAGTAGGTAACTTGGGATGTTCCCCCCAAAAACTAACAGTCCGTAGTAGCGATCATAGTAGGGGTCCTTTAATCCCTATTAAGGACTGTTAGTATAAGGGTGAACATCCCAGTAGGTAACTTTCAATACTTGGTAGCCCTGTGGTACCCTTTTCCCTTTTTGTTTGTGCACCGTTGCCTTATAAAGCAACCAAGCCCAAAGAAGGGCGCCCTTATTGTACTATGGTTGCTCGGCTACCAAGACTTCGGTGCGGAGAAGGTAACCTTCAATTGGTTTCGGGGGTTGAGGTTAATTAATGTCTCACGCCTGACGCTGGGGACGGCCTCTGCGCACGCCGCTTTACATAGGGCTTTTTTGGGGTTTAGGGTTGAGGGTTTAGGGTTTAGGGTTTAGGGTCCTCTAGACAGTTCTTGTACAATAGGAACCCTTTTAAGACACAAGGACTCGCCATTTATCCCTAGGGAACGGAAGGCCGTAAACCCCATACTGCAAAAGCCGCACAGGCCCCAATTCTAGGGTGGCGGAGGTCTTTTCCGCCAAAATCTACACCAAAGCCCTTCCTGCAGTAACCAGGAATGACGTGTATATATATATATATATATATTATCTAAGTATTCATATGTGTATTTATATGTATTTATATCTAAATCTATATATATTTATATTTATATTTATATTTATATTTATATTTATATTTATATTTATATTTATATTTATATTTATATTTATATTTATATTTATATTTATATTTATATTTATATTTATGTTATGTATGTATATAAAGGCTGCCTGACCTCAAAATCACAAGGAAAGCAAGCTTGCCGGGTGGTTTGACACCCTGGAGCAGCAACTTTCAGAGTCTGACAGGGAGGCAAAGTGCTCACCTAATCTAGGGGTCGGAATACATACTCATAGTATTCCCTTATGGCCCCCTTTTGTAATTATTTGCTATAACATCCCCACGACCCTGTTCTAACTATCCACGGCCCTATATTGAGCTTCCTACACCCAGGTCTTCCAGAGCCCCTTATAGGGTTAGGGTTTAGGGTTTAGGGTTTAGGGTTTAGGGTTTAGGGTTTAGGGTTTAGGGTTCAGGGTTTAGGGTTTAGGGTTTAGGGTTTAGGGTTTAGGGTTTAGGGTTTAGGGTCTTAATTCAGGCATATCCCTTGTTTGATGGTGCGCCAGGCACTTGCCAAGCTGGCGGTGCTGGCTTCTTCCCTTAGGGACTTCCAGCCGCAAGCCCAGGATGGGGTCTTGGGGCCTCTAGGATGTGGTTTAGGGTTTAGGGTTTAGGGTTTAGGGTTTAGGGTTTAGGGTTTAGGGTTTAGGGTTTAGGGTTTAGGGTTTGGGGTTTGGGGTTTAGGGTTTAGGGTTTAGGGATTGGCTATGAAGTAGGGGGGAGGCTCAGGGTGTATCGTAGGGGTTTCAATAAGGGCTTCTAGTGTGTTAGATTGTGTTTTAGGTTGTTGGAGGTTTTACGGGGTTCGGGTCTTAAATGGTTTAGGCCTTGCAGGGCCCAGGGTTCTGAAGACAAGGGCTTCGAGCTCTTTTAGGGCTTATCGGAAATGTGGGATTTGTGGGCTTAGAATGTCGGGCATAGACTTTCGAGGGTTTTGGCTGCCGACGTGAAGTAGGGTGGGTGACCCTGGGTTCTATTCGTAGGTTCATAGAGGAAGTTCGAGTTAAGAGGTACTGTAACTCAGGCTTCAAGTCGCCCCAAACCCTAAACCCTAAACCCTAAACCCTAAACCCTAAACCCTAAACCCTAAACCTAAACCCTAAGCCCTAAGCCCTAAACCCTGTTCTCAGGGCCCTGAAACCAGGGGCTCCCTCGAAAGGTCTTAGAGTCTCGTTGGAGAGCACTGAGGAGCAGAAGTAGGGTTTAGGGTTGAGGGTTGAGGGTGCTAAGTTGGGTTACCAGTAGTACAACGTAGGTGAGAGGGGTATAAAGGGGTCCCAAAATGGCGCAAGTATAGGGCCCTGGAACTACCCGCTCCCCAACTTAGCCCCTATTTGTTTATTTAATGTGTGTGTGTTTTTCCCGAAAGCATCGCGAAGGGTTCTTCCGTGCGGAGCCCTCTGACCCAACAACATAGAGTGAAGTACATAGAGTCAAGTGCATATAGAGTTAAGTGCATAGAGTGAAGTGCATAGAGTGAAGCGCGTAGAGTGAAGTGCATAGAGGGAAGTGCATAGTGTGAAGTGCATAGAGTCAAGTGCATAGTGTGAAGTGCATAGAGTGAAGTGCATAGAGTCAAGTGCATAGAGTCAAGTGCATAGAATGAAGTGCATAGAGTCAAGTGCATAGAGTGAAGTGCATAGAGTCAAGTGCATAGAGTCAAGTGCATAGAGTGAAGTGCATAGAGTGAAGTGCATAGAGTGAAGTGCGTAGAGTGAATTGCATAGAGTGAATTGCATAGAGTGAAGTGCATAGAGTGAATTGCATAGAGTGAAATTGAAGTGAATAGAAAGTGCGAGATTTACGTAGAATTTATTTAGTAGACCTTCGTACCCAGTCCTAGATTTCTAAATTAAAATTACTCTTTCTAATTAAAATTACTTTCTCTAAGGCGGCGGGCTGGGTTGACATCGCCAATCGGGATTGCAACCCTCTGCGGCTTTCGGCATGGTCGCGGTGCTAAAACCGTCGTTTTTTTTTACGTTTCTTGATTTGCGCGGACAACCCTCTGCGGGTTTCGGCGTGGTCGCGGTGCTAAAACCGTCGTTTTTTTTACGTTTCTTTCTGTGCGCGGACAACCCTCTGCGGGTTTCATCGTGGTCGCGGTGCTAAAACCGTCGTTTTTTTTACGTTTCTTGATTTGCGCGGACAACCCTCTGCGGCTGATCGCCGGGTCGCGGTGCTAAAACCGTCGTGTTTGGTACTTTTTTTTCGCGCGCGCGGACACCCTCTGCGGGTTTCGGCGTTGGCGCAGTGCCAAAACCGTCGTGTTTTTGCGTTTCCTGACATGCAAACGTAACCCCTCTGCGGGTTTCGGCGTTGGCGCGGTGCCAAAACCGTCGTGTTTTTGCGTTTCTTGACATGCAAACGTAACCCCTCTGCGGGTTTTCGCGTGGTCGCGGTGCTAAAACCGTAGTGTTGTTGCGTGTTTTTTTCGACTTGTGTAGTACAGACGTAGTACGCCGGGGATTTCCGTGGCTGGAAAATCGAGTTTTGTCGTACAAATGTAGTACGCCACGGACGCCCCCGGAGCTTCCGTGGCTGGAAAGTCGATTTTTGTAGTACAGACGTAGTACGCCGCGGACACCCGGAGCTTCCGTGGCTGGAAAGTCGACTTTTGTAGTACAGACGTAGTACGCCCGGGACACCCGGAGCTTCCGTGGCTGGAAAGTCGAGTTTTGTAGTACACACGGACGC